GGCTCTGGTTTTAAACAAAAGGCTGTGTTTCCTCCTCTTATATAATTTTCACTTCAAAGCCCATTTTTTAGATTACCAGTGAGGTTTTTTAAGGCTGTGATGATCAACAGCTTTCAGGTAGCAATGCAGTTAGTTCCATGAAATTCTTGCTGTTACTATATAAAGGCTTTTCTAAGTCATTAAACCTCCCAGCCATAGTCAGGGTTGTTGGGCAGTCTCTGCCCTTTGGCACAGCCCTATTGCCATCAGGTACCAGAAGTTAAAAATACATCTTGAGACCATTTTCATAAAACTATGAAGTCTTTAACTTTTGAAGTGCAGCCTTTCTTACCATATCTGTTGGGTGTGGAAATGGGAACAACTCTTGGCAGTTGGCAGGGTGCTCTCATCCAAATGGTTTTCTTAAACTTATTTGTATCTTTAAATGGGTTTAACTTTTACTCAAAGCTGTAGTGTTGGCTGTTTTTGATTTTTGGAAACTGAATAGAGTGTTAAATTCAAATGAAATTGTAATCTTCACCTAAGATGGCAGCAGAGGGAGGCAGGTGGGTGCTGTGCTGCTGCCGGCTGGCTCTGCCGCTTCCCGAGATGGGGATTTAAGAGATTCATCACAGTCAAGGCACAAGATCTAAAATTACTGCTCCAGCCTTCTGTCTGAAGTGGAGATTCTGTTCGTTTGGGGCTGCTGCTGAGTAGCCTGAAAGATAAGATTGTGTTAGAGCTGTGCACGCAATTTAATGCTTGGTGACTTCCAGCCCTCTGCGTGGTGACTTCTGGTGTGCTGAGTGAGGGTCCTGAAGGGTCCAGGGGAACTGAGCTACAGGCGAAGGGCTTGAACCTGCTGACTTGGACCTTCCCATTTGTGGTTTGATTCCATTTTGTTTGATTCTGCTGTGCCTCCTGCTTGTATTGAGCTCCTGAGGCACTAGCATGGGAGGAGAACTGCTCCTTGCAGGGTGGCCATGGGGACCACTCAGTCAAGGCGAGAGCGCGGAAGGTTCTGGAGTTCAGCTCTGCCAGTTGGAGCGGATTTGTGTGGGTGAGAGAATTGCTGTTTAATCTGGGCGGGAGCTGGGGGTTGGTGGTTCTGTTTTGTTGTCATCCCACTCCTTTCCCAAGCTTGTAATCTTTTTATACAGCATGGCATTTGGGTTAGGGGTGGGAACATCTTGAGAAAGCTACAGAGCAGATACATGGAGATGTGGCTAGATATTGAGAAGCAGCTCAGGCTGCTTGGACCTTCTCCTGGTGCTCTGTGATGTGCAGGGTGTGATTCACCCTGTTGCTATCCAGTCAGAGCAGTTGAAGCTTATATCTGGGAGGAGCTGAAACCCTGCCTAGGGAGATGGACCAGGAACGTTGATTAGACTGAGAGAGATGACTGGTCAAGGAGGTTTGAGTTTGTGCTTCTAGCTCTGTATGCAACCAACCAAAGAATGAACAAGTTGGTATGGAAATTCCTTACATATAATTTTTTTTAAATTAAGGATAACCCACTATTAATTTAGTTCACAGGATCCTTCCCAAGACTGTAGGGTAGGAGTGTTTTGGAACTTAAAACTTGTCATGTAGCTGGCCACCTAGGGGCTCACCTAGTTCAAACGAGCAGGCCTTTTCAAGCAGGAACAATCAATTAATGAAGGTCATATATATTTTTGAAAGATGTGACCAGGTGTGGTGGTAGCTTAAAATGTACTGTCTCTCTTAACTTGCCTGTGATGGAAGCTACTGGTGATGACCTTTTCATGGAAATACTACAGGCACCATCACTTAAATGCCAGCATTTTATTCTGGGATGCTGTCACCATAGTGCAGCATCATTTGTGCCTATTAATACTTTATATGCTTCAAAGTTGTTTTTTAAAAAAAAGTCAAATAGATTATAAATGTTGAGAAGGACAAATGTGACTAAGATACAGAGGCAGAAGATCCTTCCTTACCCTTTGAATTAATTAATAACTAGACATGTCTGCAGAGTGCTACAGGGAACATTGAAAAGGTAGTTACAGGAAGGCTAAAAGTGAAATTATGCAACTGTCTAGCTTTATACAATATTCTGTCCTTCTGTGACCTAGATGACTTTATGATCTGGTGATGGAAGTGAATAAATGGTTTGTTTTAAATGGACGGAAAACTTTTCTATTGCTGCTGGGGATGTTATGATTATGTAGTTGTGAGCCACGTGAGCTGGAAATACAAGAGAAGACAATTCTGCAACATGGGTCAAAGTTTTGTGTGAGAATAAGAATACCTGGTGTTTAATTCTAATTCTACAACAGGCATCTTGACCTTGGATTAAATGTGCTTATTCACCTTCAGGCACATTGAGCTTTGGCAGCAGGAGCACCGTCTGTAGGATGCTGTTCCTTGTCCTGAATGGTCACAGCGGGTGGGATTGCTAAGGTCTACAAATTATAGAAAAGGAAAGGAGGTGGAAGGCTTTTTGCTGTTTAAAGTGGCTGCTAACCTAATAACCTGTGTAAATTAAAAGATGCTAAAGTGGTGAATTCAAAATTAAAGTGGTTGTTGTGACTGCAGCCATGAAAAGGTCCCGTGTAACACCGTGACCTGTGGGTTAGAGCACGCACAGCCTGGCCCTGCCCTGCTCTGTTCCCTGAGGAAATCTGAAAAAAAAAAATCTTATGCTTGTGTAAGCAATGGGAAAACAAGCAGACACTTTATACTCTAGAAAGCCCAGTAAGCCTCAGGAAATTCCTGCATTCTTGATTTTATGTCGTGGCAAAGTACCGAGTGGTGTGTTTTTGAAAGATGAGCAAGGTTGCCCTTCTCCAGCCCAGCTCACAGCCTTGGCAGGCTGGAGCTGAATGGTGTATTGTTCCCTGCAGGCAGCCCGATCAGCTGTCACTGCTCCCCTCACCAAACACTGAGTTTATTTATAAAGAAAAAATGCTGATATTGCATTTCTTACTAAGGGAAAAAGGTTACTGGTTCTTGCTGCTGTTCAGCA